AATTCACTACCTTGAACAGGGGGTAGGGGATGTGTGCGTGTGCTGATATGTAACAGCACAAAGGAACAACTTTGGACAGGTGTTGTTTTCTCCTATAAAAGCCTCCTCCCTTAAGATTAAAGGGCACAAACCTCTGGAAAAATATTTGTCACTGCAAGGCTATTTATTTACTCATGCAAGTTTCTCTACATATGCTTAATTTTGAAAAAGGTGGGTAAGAAAAGCAGGTATATTAATCTTTGATGCTATCTTTAGGTAGCTGCACTCTGTTTTTGAGAACTCCTTCCCATTGGGACTGTCTTTCAGCTATCACAGAGATCATGGTGGAAACACCTAAGAAAATCTTAATAGAAAATGATGAGGTGAGAAGCATCAACAATATAATTCCCGTTACTCAATGAGAGCTTACCATTTCTAAAAAAAGTTTTCAAAACACTAGGAGGTGACGACTGCATGAGAAATCAGCACATACCTTTGGATCTGCCAAGGCATTAATGACATTTCCAAGAGCTAGCAGGGAGCGGTTAATATTTGTTCCTTCTCTAAAACGATCCCCCTTGGCACTTGTTGCGCTGGCACGTTCAGACCCTGCCAGGTCAATGAGAGACATTTTGGCGATGCGAACATTTTGATTGATACTAGCTGTTTTCTCTTGCTGCCTTAGATAAATCTACAATAAAAAAAAATAAATTAAAAAGTAAACATTAACCAGTCAGTTGATACTCTAAGCAGTAAGTTAATTTTACAGTGTAACAACTGTTTTCAGAAATTCTTATTGGAATCCTTCCCAGAACCCAAGTCAAACCTTTCAACACATATCTAACACCAACATGCAGGTTAGCCTGATGGAAAATAGTGAATCCATTTCTGACACTTACCTCAAATTCACCTGCTTCAGGTATTAGTAGGAAAAAGCAGAGTGGTTGCAGTGGGTTTGTCTGGGATGGAGTTAATTTTCTGCAGAGTAGCCTGTATGGTGCTTTCAGATTGGTGACCCCAACAGTGCTGATAACACACCAGTGTTCATCTTTTGCTGAACAGCAGTTGTATGATGTCAAGGCAGGGGGAAGAGCTTGCAAGGGGACAGCTGACTCCAACTGACCAAAGGTTTCTCCAAAGTAGCTGTTGCTTGAGGACTGCCTGGGCACCAGCCTGCTGGTGGCAAGCAATTGCTTCACCCTCACCCTCTTCACTTAAATGAACCACAAGGTATTTCCCTCTCGCTTTTGCCTTTTTGATTATCTTTACTGCTGCATAGGATTAAGAAAGCAGCTGGGTGGGGGCAGAGCACAGTGGCAAAGATCAGTGAGTTTCAAATGAATTTCATAGTTAAAATAGCTCTTCATTCTTCTGCACTCAAGATGTATATCACACTATTGCACTTTAAATTGAAAAAGGTGTTCATTTTTTAAAGGCATCTTTAAGAGTATGCCATAAAGATACATATATATATATATATATATATAGGGATAAACCAGGAAAAAGGCTAGAATTCAGTGCTTTAGACTTAACTGTAACTACCATTAATAGGGGAACAATACTCATTTACTGCTGTGACAACACATACTACTCCAGGGTCTTCTGGAAAGCTGTGACCCCTGAGGCCACTTGTTCCCCCTCATTCCTTTTTTCCTGACATTTTCACAGTACAGGAGATACAGAAAGAACTAAATGCTTTCACTTCCTTCTGCTAGTGAAAGTATTCTTTCCTCAGGTTTATGAGGAAGTAGGCAGAGCATGAGAACACAATCAGTAGGAAGAATTACAGTTAGATGGCTTTTACATTTTCAGTATTCTCTATAAATTTCCCCTTCTTGTGTTGTGTGGCCACTTGTAAGGCTAATGGTTACTGATGCTTTCAGGAATGTACTTTTAGAATTAGGAACGAGTTGCCATACATATAAGGTGACTGACCAATAAAGACAATATCTCACCAGTTCTGTAGCTTTAAGCTTTGCCCATGAGAACTGAAGCCTTCACAGCAATTTTTAACAGAAAAAAAAAATTGAGCAGTATTGGGAGTGAAGAAAATTATTATGACTTTCCACAAAAGGTATGTCTATATGTAATATGTATGTTTCTATATCAAACAATATAAATAAATTCTTTTGTGCTATTTCTATAGCAATATAAAAATGAAGAAGACAACATTTCCTTGTTCTTACCTTGGTAAAGTAGCTATGTCAGGCTGGCAGCACTCTACCAGAACCAAGTAACTATCATTATCAAAGTAGGGAAATGTGTAGTGACAGCCAAACTATGTTGTATGATTAAAGCTTTTATAAAAATTCAAAAGACACAGGAAATGCCCCAAAGCAGAATCTTTTCTATTTCTTTGTCTGTCAGCAGAACACTTTCAATAGAACAGTGTGGCAATTGGGATTTTACTTTCAGATGCAGTAATTGCCTGACCTAGATAGATATTTCAAACCTAAGACAGATGGTACAGTACAGCAAAACTTGCATCTCTAAAATCAGCTCAGAATGTCCTGGGCCAAGACTTCTACTACTTTCTGAGTCAGTTTCCAAAAACATCCTGCTCCAATAAAGTTAACAACAAAACCTAAAGCCAGCATAAAAGATAATTGATCTCTACAAAAAAGAGTGACTTAAAAACCAGAAAACCTAAAAATGAAGAGGAATCAAGAGAGCAATAATGATTTCTCATCATTTCTGTCTGTGGAAACAAAGGGGCAATAAAAGAGAAGCAGGTAAGACATGTTTTGCACAATGTCACAAATTTGTAGAAATAGATCAGAAACTAACATAAGTGATTATTTGTAGTACAATTGACTAGTTTGTAATTACTTCTTACAGATGCCAACACTGCTAATAACTGCATCAAGCAGATAGAATATCTAAGAATCCACTTTTTAAAAGTGTATTGATATGAATTTGCTTAGCTTAAACCAGTGAACATTAATTAAAATCTGTTAAACTTTCAGGTGCATTAATTGGACCAATCTAGTTAGGAACAATAATATTCCTTTTAAGTGGTACATGCAGATGCAGCACTTCTATTAAGCTCTTCTTTACACACACATTTTTCTAAATAAATGATGTAATCCTCCTCTCCTCTCAAGCATAAAGTCACTTTGGTGAAAAAGGCTTAAAGCCTATTCACTCCTAAACACACTATTGTTCTAAGGCTGCGCTTTGAGAACACATGATATTAGTAGATATTCATATAAATCACACATTCGAGATACAATTGTCTAACAAAACAAACCTTTTACCAGTAATTTGTGTACTTAACAGAAAACAACACTTCAGTGAAGGCAATTATATATCTTGATTGATAGCTAGACAATCTCAAACAACAAATGCACACAGGTTCAGAATTATCTCATTACAAGAGTTAAATGGATTAGGAATATTGCAAAGAAAACCAGAGAAAGTTTTTGGTAACTACAGTATCCTTGAACAGAATCAGTCTGACAGTTTTTGTGAATGAACTGTGCATGCTGAGTACCCAGTAGAACATGCTTTGAGCCATGGCATGGCAATGCCTACCTAATCTTTACATTGAAAGGTCTTTTCCTTCACAAAAAAAGTTCTGACAACCAGACATTTGTCCACAAATGATTGTGAAGTTCAATCAAGCACGCCATCTATTTGACTGCAGCTGCATATGGAGACCAGCTAAGAGACAGCCAGTGCATTTTACACCATCAAGGCTGCTTTGCTGGCCACTACTGCTATGGGGACACAGAAAAACAAAGAAAGAACACAGGCAATAGTCTAGAAATGACTTTGTCAGTTACCTCAAGTTCAAAGACAAAAATGTTCACACTAGTTTGAGCAGTCTTAAGAATTCTATTATTGACAATAACGATCTTGGAAAAGTCTGCCAGATAATACAATCCAGAGTTTTTTCCTGAGTAAAGGGAGGTAAGACACTCCAGCCCAGCAAACGAGGAACAGAAATCAGCAGTTCACTCTCTGATCTCAGCCTGTGGCACTGCACTTTGTGCCTTATTAAAGGCAGCACACATACACAGCAATGCAGCTGAAATTGATCAACTTCCTAAGAAGTTTTTGCCTTAAATGCACAACCATGGGCAAGACCTCAGGGAAATTAAAAAGGGGAATTTCAAACAGAAGTCTAAGGGATGTAAGAAAACATAGAAGCTTTCAGAGTGGGAAAGACTTTTGCTCCGTTACATATTTTAGAAGTATTTAACACATTTTCTGTCCGTTATTAACCTATTTTCACATTAGTAGTTGACAGTAGAGCTCTGGAGAGCTAACTTCACAGCTACTTGCATTGCCATCATCTATGTCAAAATACAAACTTTTGGCTCTAATTATCAAGCATTACCTAAGTCAGCAGATACAGTTTAGAACTGCTTTAGTTGTTTTAAAGCTTGGTACATGACATTAAGAAATCGCTTTATTGCAAAAGCCAACATAAGCAGGATGAGAAAGTACCACTACTTGAGAATCTCAGTTTATAGTCAGATGTATAATTTCATTTTGTAAAATATTTTTCCTAGAACAACACTGAGCAAAATAATGAAACCAGGAAGCATTAAAAACCAAACAACCCAACAACTTTCAGTTTATAAAATTGCAATATGGAAATATATTCAAAGCTCAAAATTACAGTTTTTACAGAAAAGATATTTCTTTTAAGAAGTATTGGCTTAAAGTATTGGAACTAGAGAGCTTTTCATTGAATTCCTTTTTTCAAAAATAAGCACTATGAACCTTTACATACTTATAAGGAACGAGAAGTCAACAAGAACAGTAACCTGGAAAACTTTAATCTCCTCTCACCCAAACTAAGATTTAACACAGTTTTAAAAAAAGCCCCCATTGTATTCAAATTTAAACAACTACACCTCACACTGATGAGCACTGTATATCTGCTGTATTCACTTACCTGAAAGACAGCATGGGATCGGGAAGAGGAGGCATTAACATCTGTGGGATGCTGTGTTCTATTTTTATTTCCATAATCCAACATTCGAAGGATTTCCTCTGCTGATTTAGGCTTTAAGGGTAGAGCATAATATAAATGCAGATTTTTTTCATCAACTATAAGAGATTCTACACTGATTCTAAAATATGTTAACATTCTCTTTTCCAAAAAAATTAAAGGAACTTAAAATTTTAATTACCTAGAAATAAAAGAAATTCCAAAAGTTTTGGAACTGAGTCACTTTGAACAAACACTTTTGGTTAAAAAGCATTAAAGCACAAAAGGCAGACACTTAACTGCAGAAACTTAAATCAGAGATGTTTTTTTAGTAAAGAATTTAAACAAATCTTCAAAGGTTCTCTAGAGTTAGAAAAAGTCTTGAATTAAGTCAGTCTAAGAATAACTGACTTAATTTTTCTTGTATTAATGTATTAAACAGTGATATACTAATTTTTCTCCCCAAAGACCAAAGCTTTAGGAAGTATGGTTTTCACAGTGTGAATCAAATTAATGACATTGTTACCTGTTGAATTATTATCTCGTGCACACAACAGCTGGAAGCTACATAGCACATAGCATACACTAAAAGGCTGCAAGAAATTAGGTCTACAAGAGTTGATTTTCATATTGGAAAACTAAGTTGTGTCACTGACTTTGCCAAAGAATTGCTATGCTGGCTTGGAAAATTCATTTCAAGTGAAACTTTTCAAATGTGGTTATTTAAAACTAGAAACAATTGATATGTAGGCACAAGACTTGCAAAGGTGTAGAACACTCCAAGGTGGCCCTGAAGGCAAGGAATTTCTTTAAGAAATGCTAAGACATATTAGTCAAAAAAAACAAATCTTCCAAAACCTGAAGAGGAGTATCAAACTAATGGTACCCTTTCTATAATAAGGATTGGATGCCTTAATCCATTTGTGTTTCAGAATACCAGCAGTTTTTGCCACATACTTTTGAATAATTAATCAGGTTCACAAGTTACTAAGGTACTGGTGATGACTGCCAGAAAAAAAGCCCACTAGGAAGTTACTAAATTGCCTACAACTTTCACAGATCAATGGGAACTTCACCATTTTCTCAAACACATTGTGAGGCTTCCTGAATTTCAATATCTATTTACATACCTGATGTAAAGTTAGCCCTTGAACTACCACCCCTTTCTGGGTATCTTCACGAACAGCCAGAGGTCCTGAGTTTACCAGCAGGTCACGTATCTGTTCATTGTAGACCTTTGAAAAGGAATTTAAAATCTTTTAAGAAAGCTATCCTAGCATAATTGATAGGATTAAACCTAACTAACCAGAAATACTCACAATCTTTTTTAATACCTCTTTAAGATAAAGTAACAAATTAAATCTGTAGAATTTTTGCCAAACAGCTTTCCTGGGAGTCACTCTTTCTTAGTAAATAATCTTTATTAAAAAAAAAGTTTACTCTTTTTACAAAAAAAACCTTTTGTGTAAGCATGAATCCAGAGCATTTCTTGTCCTCTATTACTCTTCACAGTCCATACTTCAGTGGGATTTCTTAACCTAAATGTACTTCTGTTAAAATTCTTAAATACTTTATTTCATGGCCTGTAGAAACACTTGAAAAAGCACATGGCAAAGCAAACTTTTCCCTCCTCCTTCTTCCCCTCAAATACTAACTACTCTTCCATTAAGAGTTTGAGGGGGGCTAGAAGGTAACAATTTTACTACTAATACTTAACAGCAGTGCTAAAATAGCTACTTGAAAAAACAGAGCTGTGATGCGAAAGAGTTGAAGAGAGGAGAGAGGGTAACAACAAAGAACAAAAGAAATATTTGTAAAGAGCTAACCATTGGCATAGCAGCTCTAATTCAAGTAGTTGTACTGTATCTCAGATCAATAAAATGAACTGAAAACTTTAAAAATATAATTGAAAAAGGATTAAATATCATTTAGTTGTGTGGTTAAACAGTGCTTATAGGATGTTATTGCGAAGTCCTGAAATACATCCCTGAAAAGATACTTTCTTGTACATATCAACAAACATTCAGAGGGATGTAACTGATCAGCAACACAGTGATCATTAGCATGTTCAGTGAATATGAGAAGAGATTTTCCTTTTTGGGCAGCCTTCTGCAAGATAATAACAGGTGCCTATGAATAATACCAAATTTGTGGAGCACAGTTCAGTTCCATTCCTATCAGGGGCACATCTTGTAAAGGCCCAGAAAGGATGGGAGAAGGCAAACCCACTTTGTCTTTATTAAAATATGCCTTAAAAAGCAACACACCAAATGCAGGAACTGGCTTACCTCTAAATAAGAGACAGCAACATTGCATATTTTATCTTCTTTTATTTGATCCATGCAATTATAAAGTGCCATCATGGTTAAATACATCACTCCAGGATCTTCAGGGGAACCTAACATTGTATGAGTCTTTCCAGCTCCTGTTGCACCATACGCAAGCACTGAATTGTCACAAAACAACAAACAAACAAACCAAACAAAAAGAAAAAAAAGCAAAGAGATATATAGTGAGTTAATCAGGAATGCAAAATTCAAATGGACATTCACACACCTCTGTCATTCTGCAGAGCTATCTTCATAAACTGATCAAAATTCTTATTTAAGCTATACTTTTTACAGCTATAATCGGAAAGCTATTTTAAAATACACATTTATTTTTGATTTTTCAGTTCAAAATTAATTTACTGGCAATATTATAATAAAATATTATTGTAAAATTATATTAAAATAATATAAAAATATTATTATAAAATATTATTTGCTTACTGTCATAACCCTAAGCCACCAACTTATTGCAGGTAAGTATTTCATTTTCTCACAATGTCACATTTGCCAATTAAAAAAACCAAGCTCTTAAAGAGAGTTCATAAAGCAGGCTACCACACAGTCAGTGACATAACTGCTTCTGGTTGAGTAAGTCTTTCCAGAGGACTCCCCTCATAGGCATCTGTATTTCAGATAAAAGTCTGCTATAACCCAAACATGAACTAGTTCTCAAAATAGAGTAGAGCCATTCTAACCTCTGTAGGCTAAAAAGTCAGTCTCTCATATCTATAATTTAAAACAAAATGCTTTATATAAATCTCAGCCTTTTTTAAAGCCTCTACAACAGTTGGATACAATGGTAGAAACTTTGAGGAATTTAGTGAAGTTTTTTAATAGGAGATAAATAGCAAAGTTACCTGTGCAGTTGTATCCATTTAAGAAGCCATCAATTAGGGATTTGGTAGTATGCTCAAAAACTTCCAGCTGGGTTGAACTTTCAGCAAAAACAGTATCAAATACAAATTTAAGATCTTTGTTTTTCCTTTTATTAAGATCCCTGTGGGTTAGTCTCTTTCCGTGAAAGAAGCTAACTTCTTCCTCCTTTGGGTCAAATACCAATATATGTTGGTCAACAACGTGAACAACTTTGCTATAGTTGCCATCTTTTTCCTTCTGAGACTCTGGACGGACACGGACCACCACTTTCACGTGGTTACACACATCTTCTTCCTTAGCAGCAGACATAACAACGTCCCTTTTGTCCCCACCTTCTGTGTTTACACGACTTTTTCAGATCAAGCAACTGAATCTTTTCTGCAACTGACAAAAAAAAAAAAAAGTGAAAGGCCTTATATTTCAACTTGCAAATAGTTTACACCTTTAACCAAGACCAGTATCTTGCACCTGCGCTGGATCTGCCCATCCTTTGTTAGTCAGCCCTGGGAACCGCTACAGCAACGGCACAACTTTGGAAACGCTGTAACTGACCTGAAAAGGTGACCTCCTTCAGCACAGCTTTCAGAAAACTAAGTAGCATTTCCCTAGGAAGCTCACAAGCTCATTTTGACAATTTAAAGTACCAGTTCATCGAGAGGCACTCCTTTATTTCAGAGCAAGCAGATGAACTGCCAGGTTTCCGCAGACCAAAGCGGGGGGTTTTCTCGTCCTTCGCCCAGAGCAGCCGCCTCTCTGCTTTCTCTGGGTTACTGGTTCAGTCACGCTGCACGGAGGTTTAAAGAGACGCTAAAGGGGGATTCACGTGAACAGAATTGGCACGGAATACGGAAACGTTCCCAGGTGTCAAACCCGAGCGTGGCTTTAACGGCCCGTTCCCGCTGATAACCGAGCGCTGTGCGCTCCC